GGGAAAATTCCTTCTTGGAATGGGGGAAAATTCATTCTTGGAATAGGGGAAAATTTCCTCTTGGAATGGGGGAAAATTCCTTCTTGGAAAGGAGAATTCCTTTTTGGAAAAGGTGGCCCAGCTTTGGGATGGGGGGAAATTCCTTCTTAGAATGGGGGAAAATTCCTTCTTGGAAAAGGTGGCCCAGCTTTGGGATGGGGGAAAATTCTTTCTTGGAATGGGGTAAAATTCCTTCTTGGAAAGGAGGCATTCTTTCTTGGAAAGGAGGAATTTCCCCCAGCTTTGGGATGGGGGAAAATTGCTTCTTGGAATGGGGGAAAATTTCTTCTTGGAATGGGGGAAAATTCCTTCTTGGAAAAGGTGGCCCAGCTTTGGGATGGGGGAAAATTTCTTCTTGGAAAGGAGGAATTCCTTCTTGGAAAGGAGGAATTTCCCCCAGCTTTGGAATGGGGGAAAATTCCTTCTTGGAATGGGGGAAAATTCCTTTTTGGAATGGGGGAAAATTCCTTCTTGGAAGAGGTGGCACAGCTTTGGGATGGGGGAAAATTCCTTTTATTCCTTCTTGGAAGAGGTGGCCCAGCTTTGGAATGAGGGAAAATTCTTTTCTTGGAATGGGGTAAAATTCCTTCTTGGAAAGGAGGAATTCCTTCTTGGAAAAGGTGGACCAGCTTTGGGATGGGGGAAAATTTCTTCTTGGAATGGGGGAAAATTCCTTCTTGGAAAGGAGAATTCCTTTTTGGAAAAGGTGGCCCAGCTTTGGAATGGGGGGAAATTCTTTCTTGGAATGGGGTAAAATTCCTTCTTGGAAAGGAGGAATTCTTTCTTGGAAAGGAGGAATTTCCCCCAGCTTTGGAATGGGGGAAAATTCCTTCTTGGAATGGGGGAAAATTTCTTCTTGGAAAGGAGGAATTCATTCTTGGAAAAGAGGAATTTACCCCAGCTTTGGAATAGGGGAAAATTTCTTCTTGGAATGAGGGAAAACTCCTTCTTGGAAAGGGTGGCCCAGCTTTGGGGTGGGGGAAAATTTCTTCTTAAANCTGCCTGCCCCAGGGCCTGGATGGGTCCTGTCAGGTTACAGACTCAATGAATCCCAAAAAATAACACCCTGGAGCACATTTTCAGGCAGTTTTGCTCTTTTAAGGCATATCCAGGAAATCCCTAAATCCCCAAACACCAGGCAGGTCTGCCAGGGAACCTCAGCTGGGAAAGGGATCCTGGTGGTTGGCTGACCCCTCCCCAGAACCTCTTGGGGTGCACCATGCCCAAGAGCTTCCCCAAGTGTCCCTGAGGTGGCTCCCCCTGTCATTTCTGAGGCTTTTGCTTGGTGGCAAGGACGGCCCAGGGCTTTGATGGGTCCTGTCAGGTTACAGACTCAATGAATCCCAAAAAATAACACCCTGGGGCACATTTTCAGGCAGTTTTGCTCTTTTAAGGCACATCCAAGAAGTGACAGTCCCTGAGTCCCCGAACACCAGGCAGCTCTGCCAGGGAGCCTCAGCTGGAGCTGGTGGAGCCACGAGAATGGGTCCTGGTGGTTGAGCCCTCGCCATGCCCAGTGTCCCTGAGCGTGGCTCCCCCCCTCATTTCTGGGCATGAGGTTTTTGCTCGGTGGCAAGGAGGGGATGGGGATCTTTGGGCACCTTCTGGTGGATTGTAGCCCCCGCCAGGTACTGCTGGAGGAGCCTCCTGAGCTCCTGGTTCCTGGCTGCCAAGGCTGCCCGTGCCTTCTCCAGCCCCTTCTCCTCCAGCTTGGCCTTGTTGAACCTCTGCCAGAACCTCTCCAGCCCAATGTAGTCCTTCATCACCTGTGGGGAGGCAGCAGGGTGATTTTGGGGTCTCCATCCTGCCCCAAGCACCAGCTGGGGGATCCCCAGAGCCGAATCACAGCCTGAGGATGGCGGTGGTGCCTCCTCACCCGTGCCAGGGGCTCGCTGGCCGTCTCCTCCAGGACCAGGCGGGCTTTTTGCTGCTCCAGCTCGCCCAGCGAGGAGGGGTAGAAGGGCAGCACCTTCTCCTCTTCTGTCTCCAGCCTTCGGCACAGCTCAGCCAGGCGTAGGAGGCGCTGAGCCTGGTGGGGACATCAGGATGGGCAGGTGGGGACGGACAGCAGGACACAGCGGGGACATCAGCGGTGCCCAACTCACCTTCTCCACCAGCTGCTGCAGCA